CATGCCTATGTTGTTGGCCGGCTATGGCTATGACTTACCGTTGAATATTTCCGCTATTCATTGGTTTAAATGTGAAGTTGTTATGAATGTTTACTACTGAGTATGGATGGATTGTTTTCTCAAACGCCTTGTATGATTAAGTGAGGTTGGCTCGCGGGTGACGTCACTTGATTATACAGCGGTTGTACACGCGCTTAGATTGCGGTCTGGGGCGTGACACTTTACAATATTTCCTAATAAGGCTAGTTTAATAATAGCTTACAAAGGTCCAATGGGCTGAAATACATTCGAATCCCATATTACACATTTAAATAATAACTACACAAATACAAAGATATTTAACTATATTGGACACCACAAAAAATTCCTAACAATCTCCCCCTTGGTGTTCAATCGTGTTTAATCAGCAATGCAGCGCAAATATCTTTGTCTTTGTGTTGATTCGGCAATGTAGAAGAGAGGGTAGATAAAATCTGTCGAGTTGCTCCTCCTTTGTCTTGATCTTCAGTGCAGCTGAGCTTCCTTTGTCTTCGTGTTGAACTCGACTTCTTAAGAAGGTTTTTTGAAGAAATCCTTGTAATCTCCCCTTTGATGTCTTCTTGACAAGTTGTTCTTTGATGTCGGGGTGTTAAGGGATCTTCAGTATCTTGCATGTAGTCCATACCTTCAAGAAGTTGCTCTTGATCAGCTTGAAAGAATCCGGATAGTGCCTTTAGAATGAATGTTCTGAAAGGTTTCAGACGCACACGAGATTTATCTTCAGTTCTTGAGTATCTGACCTTTGTCTCCTCCAAAGTGTAGTCTTTTCGACTATTTGAAGTGAATGCTTTTGAGGAGAACATGTCGGTTGCACAACGGAATGATGGTTGACTTGTGGGTTTAGCTGACCAATAGATGTGAAGCTGACTTGGCATTTCGATTATTTGAGAGAGTATAGAGCCGTCGTTGATTTTTGTGGTGGAGGAGAGAAGTGTCCGCAAATGATTTGTTGAAAGTAAACAGCATGTGGAACATTCTCCCCCTCATGATGATCCGATGAATCGAGGCGTCATGCCTTTATTCTTTTATTCTGGGTAACAAAATATAAAAACAAAATAGAAAGGTAAACACCGGAGACACCATGGTGTTCCGTTATCACAACATCAATGTAAACACTAACGTGGGTGGCCTGTATAAAATGATAGAAGCATTAAAACTTTAACATGACTTCCAACCAGTCATTGTGAAACATCTGAAATAGTTGTCACTCTAGTTGTTATGGCATGACCATAAAGATCAGCAAAGAAAGTGGTAGCCCCCCGAGGCCGTGTAGACACCCGTTGTCATCACTCTAGAGATAAACTCTAGAGCAATGGCCTCAACATGTTGGTGATTTCTATGTTGCAACAGCAGGACTTCCTTCCAATCATTAGTCTTCATCTATAGTAGATGAGCCCTATGGAAGTTCTCGCGGATCATTAGGACCTCCAACTGACTCTAAAATTGTCTGTGTCCTAGAAAATTCAAAACATTTGGGAGTGAGATAACTAGAAATGACGTGATCAATGAAAGTCCAGTGGCATGGGGCGAGGGACACTGTAATCAGTATCACTCGCCTCAGAAGGAGACGATGATGAGAGATGAGGTTCCGCGTGGAATATGATTAAACACCTGTCTGTTGGGAGACAAGTGAGTGGTCTAGGGTAGGCTTGTGCATGTGTTGCTGGACAAAATGCAGCGACTTCTACCCGGGATCTGAATAAATTCAGTCCTGAACCTATGGGGATTGTCCGGGGTATTTGAGTGACTGAGAGTAATTCTCTCAAATGATAGCGCAATTGAGGTAGCAGACTCGTCACTGATTATTTTTCTCTTGCTCACATGAGCCTCTGCTTCCTCACTCTCATAGTGTTCACTCACTCACTCTCGGCTTTGTCCCTTGGGTAGGCTTAGTTGGGTTTACTAAGGCATTGTGACGTATCTCTCATTTCTCTTTTCTCTTTTCTCTCTGTGCTCCCCTTCAACTGGAGCACTCAATAGGATGCATTCAACAATGTTTGGCGCTTGGGAGGAGAACTTTGAACCCCCCCCCCCCCCCCCCTCGAAATTTGCATCCTTGAGAGAATTCTTGCATTTTACATTGTCTGGCGCCAAGAGGAGAAATGTGAAACTCCCCCTCAAAAGTTGCACATTATTTGTTTTTCACCCGGGTAGTAAAGTAGAAGACTCCCCCTTGGAATGTGCTTTCTTCGTTGTTTGGCACCAGGAGGAGTGAAAAAGAAACACTCCTCCTAAGAATATGCACTTGTTCGTTCTTTGTTCTTGGCGTGTGTTGGTGATAGCCGTTAAATTTACTTGTGTTTAACATAAGTATTTATAAGTATTTGTTGAAGAAAAGAAGAGAAATCAGGCATATACCTCCAGAATGAGAGCTAGAGCATAAAACATTGCGATGAACGACTTTTTGGACCAAGAGAATGACGTTCTGCCCATAATTTGAGTATAACTTATTCTATAGAACTCGAAATCACTCGATTCGAGTTTCATGTGAATTCTAACTCAATAACGTACAAAATGTTATGAAGATGTCATGGCCAAAATATGAAAGGAACAAGACTTAATCAACCAACAAAGTCAGATATTGCTAGTGGAATTTTAGGATGCATACCTCTCAGTGTTTTATCCATATCTTTTGATTGGCTAAATAAAATCACGTCATTCAAGTTTTAGTGGATAGAAGACTTCAGTATCTACAACTTTGGTGAAGAAATCATGTCCAAATTCGTAGCGGAACATCCCCAAAATCCCAGGACAAAACACGCCGAAATTTCACCAAACCGGCGCCGGTCTGATGTTTTTCCCACATAAATGGCAAACCAGTAGCTTAACCGGCGCCGGGTTGGCCTTATAACCAGCACCGGTTAGGTCTATTTTTCAGCTTTCATTGCGCGCAGTGAAGAACCGGTGTCCGCCGGGTCTGAAATTAACGTTGAAGTCTAAACTATGAACATTAAAGGATAACATATATATTACCGAGAATAGAAATATATCCGGTATTATATGATACAGGTGTGATATCTTGATATTCAACGGGGTTTTCGGTAGATGAATGTAAGCCGTAACGGGACTTACACGTAACGAAAACCACGCTCTCGCTGCCTTAACCGGAGTTGAGAATATATTAGCGACATCGTATTCATGATTATTGGTAAAGAATTAATATTCAACCCTATTAAAGCATTTAAGTGATTCCTGAAGCCTTAGGCGTTGTTATCATTCATTTTATACCCGAATTAATTAAAGCTGTTTCCTTGAATTTAAAGTGAAAAGACAAAAATACAAAACACAAATCAAAATCCCTGCACTTTACTCATTTACGTATTTAAAAGTCATCTACTCTCGGACTAAATTAAACAACGTTTCCCTGTGGATTCGACCCGTTATTTTACTAGAATTTATTACTATATCGGCACTTGTACACTTGCCAGTTCAAACCAATCAGTTGGTTCTGAGGCGTGCATTTGTGATTTTCAGCTCAGTTGAGAGTATACACATTATTACTCCCATTCATAATGTGCACTAGTTGATTGCTCACAGCTCATCTTCATACCCGCCGAGCGTGTGGAGCAATCGTATCAGTTACCACACATGACGGACCTGCAAGGGTTAAGAAACCTTTGGTACCAATTTCAGGGTCCATCCCTTTTAGCACAAAACAAATTTTGAAAATTTTGTTTTATTTTTGTTCCTAAATCAGTCTCTTTTGAAGCTTTTAGAGAGCTATATGACTGGGACTCTGATTTAGGAACCCATTGAAGATTATTTGCAGGTGTATGAGAACTTTCAGCGCGTGTGAATGATGGAACAAATTTTCGAGAAGTAAAGATTTTCTCCCTTGATAACCGTTTCAGGTGTTTGACAGAATAAACCTTGAAGGGATAAGTCAAGAAAACACTGTCACAAACAGTATAGGTTGAAACTTCAAATGTTTTCTTTTTCGACTTGCCATCATTCACATCACAATGAGGTTTGGAAGCCTTACCCTTTTGCTTAGGTTTCATAGGCTTGCTAACCTCAACACTTGAATGAGAAAACACAGATTCATTAGAAAAAGACCGAGAAAAATGGTATGTGACACAGATTCAACAATAGTACTTTACTACCATTATTAGTTTTAAAAAATAGGAATCAACTTTAGAGTCCGTTTTGGTAATACGCAATCGTCTGTTTTGCCTAATGTTGTTGAAATTTATGAAGTTCTAGTTGAAGTGGCTGGATTGATTGATTCTGCTGATTTATGAAAAAAAAATTATAATTAAAATATATTTTATTAATAAAATAAAGAAAAAATTATGTGAAAAAATAGTTAAAACGATTTTCTAGAGTAACTTCAGCCAATACTGCTTGAAAAATAATTTCAACCTTACTTTTTCTTATTATTACACAATTCAGCAGGTGAAATCAAAAGTTACATGTTTGGTGAAAATGTTAACTGATAAGATTGATAAACCGAAACAGACTCACCAAACGGATTCTTAGAATTCTCAGATACGTAGTAATATAAGTATAGTAGCCCAATTTAAGTGTAATAGTTTAGTACTCCCTCCGTCCCTTATAACTTTGATAACTTTCCTTTTTTGATTATTCCAAAAACTTTGTCACTTTCTCTTTTAATCAATCAATTTGTGACACATGTTATTTCTCTCTCCTCTGCACAAATTTCTACCACACAGATTTTACTTTATTAATCTACGTGTGAGTCAAAAAGGCAAACATTTAAGTGAAGGAGAGAATATGTTCTACGGAGTATATAATTTACAAATGAAATTGATAAATAGGAAAATATATGGATTAATGTGACATGACACTTGTATGAATGATTGGTGAATACCTTTAATTGTTATCTTTACTATTCATTGGGCATTAGCTGTCGAACTAAAAATAGGTAGTACCAAAATGTACATCAATCTAATCTGTTTATTACATTGCCTCTCCCTGGACCGCATTATTATAAATTATCATAATGATAAAAACAAGTGCAAAAGAATGCTGTTGCTCTCCACATTGCATCTCAAGTCTCAACCCAGCCGGTTTGAATAGAACCAGAGGGAGGCAGAAAGAAAGAGAGTTTGTCTTCATTTTTATGATGGAACCCACCGGCAAGGCGGTGGTTGTGATAACCGGCTGTTCAAGCGGCGGCATAGGGCACGCCATGGCTCGTGAGTTCGCCGCCAAGAACTGCTTGGTGGTGCCAACGGCTCGATCCCACGCTGCAATGCGGGATTTTGAGAATGACCCTCGGTTCTACCCTCATGAACTCGACGTTCTGTCCGACCAGTCTGTGACGCGTCTTATCTCCGGCGTTCTTCGGAAGTTCGGCCGGATCGATGTTCTCGTGAACAACGCCGGAGTGCTCAGCATTGGACCGCTGGCTGAGATCCCTTTATCCACCATTCAGCACACCTTCGACACCAATGTGTTTGGTAAGCTGTTTTTCTAGTCCATCCAATGTGATATATGTAGCAGGTTTGGTCCGATTCTGTACTTCAAGTTTCTGTCTTTATATAAAAACAGTTTTCAGAACCAAGAGTTGAGGTCCAGCCTCATTTAGAAAGAAGGTTACTAATCATTTGTTCTTCCAGAAAACTGAAGAGATTCGTCTTTTTCAGTTAAATAACTCTGAGCAAACTGGCCCTTAGACTCTGTATGGTAGTCATGAATTGCTTATTTTTCTTTTTCGGCTTATGAGCTGAATAAGTAGCTTTTGGAAATTGAGGTTACCAATCGTCTTGTTTTTCTTTTTGAAAATTCAATAGATTCGTCCATTTCACTCAAATAACTCTGACCAAACGAGCTCTTAGGATCTTTACAGTAAACATAATCTGTTTATTCTGCTTACACGCCCTAATGGCTTGTAAGCTGAATAAGTAGCTATCGAAATCTACTTATACAGATTACAAGCTGAATAAATAGCTCTTGAAAAACGATGTCTTCTTCAGGACCTTTTTTTCTTTCTAAAACCCAACAGATTCAGCCATCTCAAACAAATAACTCTAATCAAGCAGGCTCTTAGACTCTGCTTGATAGTCATTACCTGCTTATTCTGCTTACTTGGCTTATAAGTAGAAATGTAGAGTAGTAGTAGATTCTCCCTTAGTGCCTAGGTATTTAGTCGAAGTCCATGACACCAAAAATCTCTTCTTTCAGAAAATTCATCACATCTAACTGTTTCAGCCAATTAACTTTAACTAAACTCGCCCTTAATGACATGTTGTTTGCTAGTGAACCAAATTGCTTTTGTTTCTCATCTATCTTTCATTGTTTTATTTTGATGCAACGAAATGGCGCTATCTTTCCTTAGTGGATAGAATCTATGATTTGGTTCAAATTGATTTGTTTATGGCATCCATGACCTTGTCTTATTATTATAATGGGTAGGGACGATGAGGTTAGTTCAAGCTGTGGTTCCTCACATGGCATCCAGGAAAGAGGGAAAGATTGTTAATGTAGGCAGTTGTATTGCTTTAGTTTCTGGAGCATGGGCTGGTGCTTATAGCTCATCCAAAGCTGCTCTACATTCTTTAACAGATACCTTGAGGTATAATAATAATGTATACAGACTTACAGAGTATGTCTAGCTAAGAACTTTGGAACATCACTATCACCATGGTTACCCAAAACCAGACCGATCTTGAAGCGGCACACATATTATGCAATGAGTTCAAACTTCAAAGTATCTAAAATACCCATAATCAATTAGTGCTGTTTGTGAAAAGAACACATTGAAAACCGTGTGGGTAAGTAGTTAAAAGTAAACTTCTACTTTTAAATCCTCAAAAGCAACTGTTTTAGAAAATATTTGTCTCCTAAAAAGATACTTATTGCGAGGTGGGGGTGGGGACTTTTAGTAGGGAAATTCAGCAATACATGAAATTTCCATCTACGGTTGCAATTTTTAAGGATTTTGTTTTCACTTCATCAGGCATCATAGTTTATACCTGTGATTTGAATCTAAAAGTCGAACACCCAAAAAATGCTAATGTTTTTTTGAGTTCATGTTATGATCCATAATTTGAATATAATAAATATTAACAAACCTATGGAATAATAATAATAATAATAATACTTATAATAATAATATATTTTCTGAAACCATTTCACATCTTCACCCTTAAATAATTTTCTAGATCTTAAGTTTCTAATTTTTTAAATAATATCACGATCGACGAGTTTTCTTTGTGCTGGTTTTTTGCAAATGAGATGTGCTCCTATCTGTACTTTATTTATTTTTTTGTAATGCAGACTGGAACTACGGCCTTTGGGGATTGATGTGATCAATGTGGTTCCTGGAGCAATTAAGTCAAATGTAGGAAACTCAGCACTTGCGAGGTATGATGATCAGATGCCAGAATGGAAGTTTTACAAAAGATTTGAAGCGGCAATTAGAGGAAGAGCCCTCCTCTCCCAGGTACCACGGGCGACCTCTACTGAAGAGTTTGCAAAACGGACTGTGACAGCGGTGCTTAAAAAGAACCCCCCAGCTTGGTTCTCAACCGGTCACTATTCAACAATTTCAGCAATCCTCTATCACTTGCCATTGTTCATCAAAGACTTCATTCTCCGCAAAAAAATGATGAGTTGAAATCTACATTAGAGTTTCTGAAATCGGGAACCCTCCTTTTCTAAAGATTTGTGCATCATAGGTTGAATTTCAAGATTGGGGTGGGTTGGAGGAGCTGGGCTATATCCTCCAATCCAAATTTGGAAAAACAAGTCTGCGTGAGATTTTTACTAAAGAGATTTAAATGCAAGAATTGTATTGTTTACTACTGTAAATCAACTCCATATATGTGATTATGTGAATGTGTTGATAACTTGATATATATCGTCCCCAGAGTTGTCAAGAAAGTCCAACATCTCAAACCCCGCTAGTGCCAAGGGTAGAGTAGACAGAGATCAAGTTCAGGTATGTTTCCAGTTTTGATCAACCGAAAGTTCTGTATTAGGATGTGGTTCCATTTTGAATAGTTCTAAACCGGATTTCCAAGTAGGCCTGTCAATGGGTCGGGTCCGGGTTGGAACATAGTGTTCCAGACCCAGACCCGCTAAGTTAGTAATGGACCCAGACCCGACCCGTTTACCCCGGCGGGTCTGAAAATTTGGACCCAGACCCGGACCCAACGGGTCTCGGAACCGGGTCGGGTAGACCCGCCAAGTATGATACCGTTATAAATTTTGTGAAAACAACAAGACCTGTATGTGAAATGTAAAGAAAAGTGTGTAAACTAATAAGCAAAATATATCTTCACTTTTTCAAAAAAATTAAAGGTTTCTCATATTATTACTTTTATGAGTTTATCCAATAATGTATCAGTTCTTGCGTATAACTCCACACTATGTGTCGCTTTTTCTCGTGCATAGGGCTTGTAGAATAAACTTCAAATTAAGTCACAAAAGGTGTCTTTGACTATAGAGAGTATAAAAACATATTGTACAGAGTGTATGATAATGATATAATAATACTACGTATTAATAATAATAATAATTATTATTATAATGAATATTGTGCGTTGCTTACCGAGCCCAATATACATTTTATCACTATGAATAAACGGCCAAAATGAGTATTAATTTTATTCTATCACACTATCTCAACCAGTACACTTATATTTTATGGATTATTAGGTAAATGTGTGTGTATTAGTTTGTATTTTATTATTTGAAGTGTTATAACTAATCACTTTATGTATTAGTGTGTTTGTATTCAAATAAGAAATTTTAAACGGGTCCGGGTCCTTAACGGGTCGGAATCATATGTACCGTACCCGACCTGTTTATTAGATATACTAACGGGTCCGGATCCGGGTCTGGGTAAACGGAATAAAATATAGACCCATACCCGTTAAAAATAACCGGGTCCGGGTCGGGTCCGGGTCTAGACCCGACCCATTGACAGGCCTATTTCCAAGCTATGGACAGGCATAATGAATAGTGCATACATTCCTAAGTTCACTCAAATACCTACTACCCAACTAGATATTTTCTGGTCAAAATTTATTCATCATTTGTAATAATGAGAAATTAAGAATTATTTTATTCATGAGCATTAAATGAAAATCCAAGGGTAATAGAAACCTTGAGGGCTATATTGCAACCATCGAAGTGTAATTAGATCCTTTCTCCTAGGCATGAATTGAGTTCACTTTCTAAATGTTTCTTATTAAACTCTTATGAAAGCATAAACGTATCATTATAGAACTTTTGGAATACAGAAAAGAATAAATGATATTGGTTGCTTGACAATATTGATCAACATAGAAATTCTGACACGGAAAAATGTATGCATATTCTCGTAAGGAAAATTATCTCGCATATGACTAAAACATCAATCATTTCCCAATATATGAGTCCTTGAGTTTTTTTCCCATATTAATACGTGCATGAGTATTAATAGGAAGTGTTTTACTCCTATACATTTGTTGTCATATTATCAGAAATCTCATTATTTAGTCATATTATGGGAAATCCTCTATGTTTTGATAATATTTCCGTAATAATCCCTTTTATATATAAAGTATTCAAAATGTGGGGTACTTGAACAATTTTACATTTGCTCATAGTAATGTTATGTATGATATTCTGAGATACAATATAATAATTGTTGTGCATGTGTGCAATGCTTTTAAATACGTAGTATATTATATTGGTATTAAATAATATGTGGTGAATTTCGAAAATTAATTGTGTATGCAAATAATATATGTGACATCTTTTATTATTCATTTAGTGTGGAGCTATATGGAGTTGAATATAAGACAATTAAGTTTTAGTCTTTAATCCAACACGATATAGTAAATATATGTATAAATGTGTATGAACAAGCTCTTTTTACGTGGAAACCCGAAAGGGAGAAAACCACGGGACTTTTTAGGTTAACGTCCAAGCCCTCTCATTCTCATTAATCTCTCATCACCATTACAAGTTACAAGGTATTGAGCTCCCATTCATGGAGTATTGTAAGCTAGCTAGAGAGAAGGAAGAAGAATAAGCCAAGGAAAAAAGGATCCCTAAACATGTGGGAAAGCCCCATATTTATAGGGGAAAGGGAGTAGGGTAAAACCTACCCTAATGGGCCAAATGAGTCGAAAATGGGCCCAAAGGCCAAAACAGGCCCAATAGGCTTAGAATGGCCTCCGCCATCTGGGCTCTGAACTGGGGTAATATCTTGGACCCTTGAACAGTAGTAGGCTGGGATAATATACCTCAACAAGTCTTATTACTCTTATATGGTTGATTTGATAGAAATCTATGTTGACTCTCAAAGTGTGAGTTTGTTACAAATTAACAAACTATGTGAGACCGACATTGACATAATTGTCCAAAGATTGAGATGAAATTTGAAAAAAAAATTACATATTAAATAAATGAAGACTGTTTACAAAAATGTGATTAGTAACAGGGGTAGTAATGAAATCATAGTAACTTATGTTCATTTTTTAAGCGTAACTTACAGTGATGCTACATTGTAATAACTAATAGTCATACTTGTGTAAATAAGTTTTATTTTAATAATATTTTTGTAAAAAATCCTTCGAAACACAAAAAGTGTATTTGGTGAGTCATACCATTGTACTAAAGAGATACAATGATGATATATTGTATTGAGAATTATCCATTGTACTATAATTTTACAATGGTGTTATTATTATTATTATTATTATTTTTTTTGATCGAGAATTACCCCGTTGTACAAGAGGGATATCACAATGTTATGTTTTATTGAAAATTATTCGATGTACCCACATTGATGCTATATTTTATTAAGAGTTACTCATTGTATTACTCAAATACAACAACGCCATTTGAGTCGACTCACATTAGGTAAAGTAAATTATTGAATACCCATTGACTCTTAAAAGTGATGCAATGATATTTGGGGTGTAAAAATTGTTTAATGACATTGAAGAATGGAGTCATCGCTAGTGGTGGACCGGTTCCGGGCCGACCGGCCCGTGGCCCGGCCCGGCCCGACACTGTTTGGAACCGGCCCGACCAGAGACCGGTCCGGGTAGGCCCGGCCCGGAGGTTATACACGGCGGGCTCGGGTCATCAAAATTAGGAACCGGCCCGGTCGGGCCCGGTTCAGGCCTTTTTTTGTTTTTTTCAATTTTTTTTTTGTTTTTCCCGGGTTGGGCTGGGTGTTTTGGGGGGTGGGGGTCAGGTGTTAATTAGAAAAGTAAAAAAAAAAAACAAGCTCGGGGACCGGCCGGACCCGATGGAAACCCGGGCCGGTTCCGGGCCCGAAGCCAAGGAGTTGGCCACTCCATTAAATTAGATGATAATTTAATATAGTAAAAATGATCAAATAAACTCTTCTACAAGTGCAAAACCATCATTTAAACTCGTCCTATAAAAAGCTTCATCTATACCCATTTACTCTTAAAAAAGAGTCAATTGAGCCAAAATACCTAGATTATCTTTAGTAGCAGATCACCTTCACATTTTCTTTCATACGGAGTATATTTATTTTTTATTTTTCCTTTTTACGTAGTACTACCTCCGTCCCATTTATATTGGGACGGAAGAGAGTGACACGGTTATTAAGAAAAGTGAGTTTGTGTGGTTGATATTAATTGATAAAGTAAGAATAAAGTAAGAATGATTTAGAGCTATACAAACTTTGCCAAATATAGTATGGGACAATTTATGTAGGACTTCCCGAAAAGGTAAAACAAGACAATATAAATGGAACGGAGTATTTAATACGGAGTGCAGATTAGCAGGCCATTGCCACCCTGCCCACCCACCCAAACCAGGCTTTTTCACAAAAATATCACATCCCTAGGGATTCAAACCTTCGACTGATGGTGAGATCCCAAGGACCAATTTCCAACTCGACTACATGTTCATTGTGAAACAATGTACCTGGAAATGTATCTATACTTAAACTTTTCACACTATTATTTTCACATCCAAATAAATAAAGGCGAAATTCATACCTTTAGGAGTTTTACAATTATAATCCCTACCGAAGATGTCTATATAAATAACTCATACTCGTAAACATGTCTACATAGACAGATTAGATTAATCTTTTTTATATTTAATATATAAGGATACAATATTAACTTTGTTCATCATTGTCATACCTGTGAGTTTAGTATTCTTTTTTTTAAATAGAGCTTTATATGTGACTTTAGTATTTTTTATATCATTACTAAAATTATTTTCTTGAAGGCTAATAATCTATCTATGAAAGTTTAATCTATCTATAGACACATTTAAGAGTTTGGATTATTTGTATTGACTTTTTCAGCAGAGATAATTATTGTAGAACCACTGAAAGTACGGATTATTGGTATGAATTTCACCATAAATAAATTCGTGATTATAATAAAAAGTGCGAGTGTTTTTATTGATATTATTATATTATACTCATATATACAGAGTATTTGTGAAAGATTTAAAACACCCATTAATATTATTAATCTTAATATTATTTTCACATAATGTCCATTCAATTCTAAACACATTTTGAACATGTTGAAAACTACTACATCTGTCCCATTTTATGTGTCTCACTTTGACTTGGCACGATTACTAATAAAGTGGTTCAAAAAGTAAAAGTAGTTGTTGAGGTTTGAGTATAATAAAGTGATATGGTGAGCCACATATTTCTTTCTGAAAAAGGAAAGGAGACATTTATTTTGGCTCCTTTTTTATTTATTCTTATAAGAATTATTAAATTTTGAATTAGAATAATTTTTTACCAAAAAAATTTATGATAGTATAATTAACTATATTTGATGTTTATTTTTTTACTAAATATTGACCGGTTTTCTTGGCAGGTTGACTCATAACCCAGTAAATATTTACCCGATAAATGACTGAGTCTAGGGTCAACCCGGATCAGTAATGATAGTATTATTGGGTCATTGGTACGGTCAACCCGGTCAACGTACGCCAAAAAAAACAAACCAATATTTAGTGAAAAATTGATATAAAATATAGTTCATTATGTATCAAATTAAAAGGAAAATAACTTTAAATAGGAGTAAATCAATCTCTAAATGCACAGATATGATCATATTGTTTTTCTTCCCTAAAATAGGACTAAATTATATTGTATCTTCATATTCTACATTTACTATAACTTAATAGGAAAATCACATTTTAATTTGTAAAAAACACCAAAAATAATAAAATTAGTTTTATTAAGAATATAATAAAACATTCATTTATTTAATACTACCTCCGTCCCAAAATGATGGTCCTATATTTCATGTTTGTTTTACTGAGGTAAATGGACCGTCACTTGATAACAAATAGGAATTATAACCCAATATGTGTGATTAGAGATCTCATGAAGCAGTTTCATATGGTCAATAACAAGTCTTCTATTTGTTCTGCTAGCCTATTTTAAAAGTTCATTTCTAGGGTGAGGCTAGCCTATTTTATGGATGGTGTGTTAAGCGCGGGACGAATTTGATGATATCACCTATATGAGTGTGAAGTGAGGCCGCTTCTATGAAGCACTGACGACGCTTCAAGAGCACTCAAGAAAACCAAGCACGTGCATGACCGAGAGGCACACAACGGCGTTAACACGAGGAATTGTGTGGAGTGAGACGTGACTGTTAATACCCTGATTTACCGAAGTAGCTTCTTGGGTCATACTTCATAGAAATTATATATTTCACCAAAAGCTCAATTTATAAAGAATAAATCGTCTTAGTTTGGTTTATAGTTAAGGACACCAAGCTTAAAGTATCATTCTATGTTAATCCAACGGATTTCTTAACTCTTTTAAAACCTCAAAATGTTTATTTGAAACTAGGGGCGGGCACGATCCGGTCCAATATTTTGTCGAACCCGTACCCGTACCGTGACTATTGTAATGGTTCGGTATGGTACCATTTTCAAACGGGGCGATACCATGTCATACCAATATAAAACAATGCACTTTTTCTAAGTGTTTAAGGAAAAATTAAAGTTTGGTCATCCTCCAAAAATCCACACAAATTATCAATTTTCATACTACGGTATTACATAATTAATAAATTTCAAATAGATTATAGTAGTACAAATTTAAATGATTAAACCATATTTCGGTCCAGTTCCAAGTTTCCAGTGAACTAGCAAAGGCTTGGACTGAAGTATGGTATAATTATTTAAATTTTACGTTTATACCATTACTTTGACTAGTCCCTTAAATTTAAACGAAAAATTTAAATAATTACAACCATGCTTGAAATAAATGTAACGGTCTGTACAGTAGGGGTGTCAGGGAACACTTTCCAATTTTAGTAATAAAAATTTGAAAGTTACAAGATAGAGAAACAGAAGACAAGCCAAGCAAGTACAAAAAATAAATGATGTTACAAGTACAAAGACTTTAACACTTGAAATTTTGAGTGGGAATCCCCACCTAAGCGTAGTCCATTTATTAGTGAACTAGTTTGTGTAACGCGTATTGCGCGATTGGGATGGTGCCCAATGTATATGTTGTGTACTACGTAGTATAAAATTGTAGGTTATTGCATTTTACTTTGAACAAAAAAATTATCCTTCAAAAAGTGTGTCTTGTGTGAGCTTTTAACCGGGCTTCACTAGTTGTCTATAACGTTATCAACAACACCACATATTTTAAACCCTGCACTCCCTTTGTTGACCAATGATTGTGTGACCTCATTAATATTCAAAGTCATATTTTTGCAATACATATGGAGGTTCTCGTGTTAGTTGGAATGCTCACTCTTTTTACTTTGCAACTCCTAATAAAGATTAGTACCCCATAAAGAGTGTAAATCATTATCATTATCATTACCCAGTGGCGCAAAGGCTCCCACCTTCAGTGGGGTAGGGGGGTCGGATGTACCCATAAAGAGTGTAAATAAAGAAAAAAATTATCATCTCTTGAAAGATGGTCGGTATCTCCTAAAGACATTTTTATGGGCCTCAAGGTGTGCATTTCATGTGAAGCACTAAAATTTTCCAACTTGCTTCTGCAAGCTTAGCATCAACCATGTGGAATTTTTCTCGCACTTCAAGTTGTTATTGAGTTCTTGGTCTAAAAAGCACGGACATATGGAATTTTGGTTACAGATGCTAGCTTGATTTGTTTATATTCTATTTGTGTCTCTCACAAAGCCTTCAAAAGCTACATAAAAATTTAAAAATCACCAATAAACAAGCACTTAATCTCCAGGATGCTAACAAGGTAGCCAGCATTTCTTTCAAAAGAAGATTAAAAAGGTTGAATATCAATTAACGTTAGATGGAAAAATATTTATATTACCCAAGTTCTCTGGTAAAATTAAAAAATCATACGAGCATGACAACATTAGCATATGGAAAATTTGAATAGGAAAGAAAAAATAATTTACGCTTGCATCATTAAAATGAAAAAGATTTGAAAAGGGGATGAATTATATATGTTTTCTCACTATTTTCTTAATGCGTGTTCCACGATTAGCTCAATGCCAAATATTTAATTACTTTTTTCGCTAGTAGAAAATGATAACAGGACTTCCAACTTATATAATAGTTATAACCTTTAATAGTTATAACCTTTAATAAATCTTGAGTTGATACAAATCTGATGATTGCCTCTTACACCCAAAAATGGACTTTTCACTCTTTGAGCAAGAGTCTATATGTCTAGAAAGTAATAGCGTCGTATTCATCTTTTAATCTATTTTTTATGCTTCAAGTTAGATTATATTAGAGGTGACCAACCATAAATTCATTAACTTTCCAAGATAAGTTTTTTTCTCAAACCTAAAGATTCACTAAACTGAAGGAAAGGAAATATCATTAATTCATAATCAATCATATTCCTTCCGTTCTAAATTGAGTTGCAAATTTGACTTTTTTCTCTGTTTTTTTTTTACTCCAGGGGGGTCTGGGGGATGGGGGAGCCTGGAGTAATTAGAGCTGAAACTCAATCCATTGAGTGTCCAACCCTTGTGTGCCTAGAGGGATTCAAACTCGAGACCTTCCACTAAGCACGGTAACCTCACATCCAGCTGGGCTGGAATGCTTGGTTGAGTTGCAAATTTGAATTTCAATGTAGTTTCTCAATATGTAAATTTTAATTGTTAAAGTTGAATTATTTATCAATAGAGAGGACTTAACTTTAACATTTGGTTGACAAAAAAATATTGGTTTAGCAAAACAAATTGGGACAAAGGTTGTATTGTTTTTTTATCAAGGTAAGCACCATGCCCTTTGTAATTAAAACTGATTTTGATGGATAAAAATAGATTAATGTTTGGATTTTGGAATCTCATAAGGTTGCCCTGAGCAACCACTCCAATCCCACCATTTCATCTTTGCAAGGATTGAACATAATGGGAATGATGTCCAAAAAATTATGTAATACTTCGTAACATTTAATCAAAAGAAAGTAACAAGAATAACTTACACGCATGAAGGGAAACATGTCTGGTGCAGCACCCCTGCCAATTAACCCTTATGCTTAATCTATTGAAGGGTACAATTAGTAACGTAATAGAATTACTTAGAGGTTATACTAACGGAAAGATGTAAAACGTTTGTTCCTTAAACCGTCCAAACCTAGTACAATACTTAAATCACATGGTACACCCTCATATATCAATAAAGTTACACCAAGAAATTTTTCATGCCCAAAAGGGTATTAACACTCATTCATCTTTATTAGTTTGTAGAGACATGCAAGCAAAATTTTCAAAAACTCTATATTGTACATAAATAGTTAAACTCTAATCACTTTTCTTTTATTCTATAATTAAATTTATTCTGTGAAAGACATTAGAATATACTTTAGAATATACTTTAGAATATTCTTCTATCCTTAGAATATACTTTAGAATATTTTAGGAATATACTCTAGGATATTATTATTGTATAGAATCTTATAAGAATATTCTATCTTTGTAATCTATATTTATAGGGACTTAACCCTCCAATGAAATACACAGAAAATCCTTTCCTCTCCAATATTATTTCTTAGTTAATATGCTCTATTTCAACATGGTATCAGAGCCTTTCATTTCAATTTAGTTTTTCAGATTTCAATTTAGTTTTTCACACTCGGTTCTTTCTCAAAGAACTTGAGTTCAGTTCAGAACCTCTTGAGTTCAGTTCAGAACCTCTGTGCACCATTCTGTCTACAAGAAACTCAACCTAGTCAGAACTTCTTTACACAGAATCTCTATTCAGAAGCTTAGTTCAATCTCAGAACCTCCGATTATTCCCAGAACCTCTTCCCAGAAGCTTTTGCCAGAACCTTCAATCTCAGAAGCAACTGGGTATCCGACAACCCTGTTCAACCTCCCTCATCCTCTGGTTCTCCTGCCACTGTCGACCGAACACCCAAAGTCCGCACTCCAAAATCATTGCGCGTGAGTGACACGCGCCGCCGGAAGATTCCGCAGCCAACTCACGCGCCGGCACGTGACGCCGTGTTTATGGCCGGAATCTGATCGGAACTCTTCGTCTGAAACTCGCCTGAAAGTCCTCTGCCAGGTATACTTTACTTCTCTCGTTCTTTGTCCAGCAAGGGACGGGATCTGTGGGCCGGAGGAAGCTTCGTGGTTGGTCGCTAGTGTCTGGCATCGGATACTGTGGACGCCCCAGGTGGGTTGGTCGCTGCCTCGCTGGTGTCTAGCATCGGATATGTGTGGACACCCCTTGAACTGCTACCGATATGTCAGCGCATCAATTTTAAAAGTTGAGTAGTTTTTTTCCCTCCAAATTCTCTTCTCCAAATTTTGAGCCCACAAACGGGGAAAGGCTGCTGTAGCTTATGGCAGTATCTCAATTTTGAACTTACTACTGCAAAAAAAAAAAAAAAAAAAAAAAAAAGAATGTTGTGTACCAGTCAGTTTGGCAGAGAAAAAAGATGCAATTACTGCAAGAAGCCTGGACACTTGCTCAAAGAATGTAAAAAGTTGCTGTTCAAAAATCAAGGAAATCAGCTTGCTCATGTTGCTTCCGCTATGAGTTCATTTGATGGATCAATTGCTATTTCTTCAGACGAGTATGCTAAATTTATTTGCTACCAAGAATCTCTAAAGCATTCATCTACCCCTATCTCGGTAGTCGCAAATTCAGGTATTTCAAACACATGTCTTGTTTCATCATCCTCAAAATGGGTCATTGACTCAGGTGCCACAGATCATATGACTGGTAATCCTAGTCTATTCTCATCATTTCACTCACATTTACCTGCTTCCAGTGTCACTTTAGCAGACGGGTCTACCTCACCCGTTCTTGGATCTGGTACTGTTGTACCAACTTCTACATTACCATTATCGTCTGTTTTGAGTCTTCCTAATTTTGCATTTAATCTGCTTTCCATCAGTAAAATCACACGTACTCTTAATTGTTCTGTAACATTTTTTCCGGGATATTGTGTGTTTCAGGATCTGTTAACGAAGCATACTATTGGTCAAGGACATGAGTCGGGTGGTCTTTATATTTTGGATACATCAATTACAAAAGGTATCTCTTGCCTTGGGTTGGAAATCTATTAGAAGCTCATTACCGATTAGGACATCCATCTCTCTCACTAATGAAGCAATTATATCCTCAGTTTAATAAGGTGTCTTCTATACAATGTGAGTTGTGTGAGTTTGCTAAACATCATCGCACTAGTTTAAGTCCCCGACTTAATAAACGAGCAAATGCTCCGTTTGATCTTGTCCATACTGATGTTTGGGGGGCATATCCAGTTGTGTCCAAACCTGGTTTCAAATATTTTGTCACTTTTGTTGACGATTATTCTCGTATGACATGGGTGTATTTTATGAAGCGCCGATCCGAGTTATTTACTCATTTCTCTGCATTTTGTGCTGAAATTAAAACTCAATTTAATGTTCCTGTTCGTGTGTTAAGGGGAGACAATGCCCAAGAATATTTATCTGCTCCATTTAAATCTTTTATGCTTCAACATGGCATTATTCATCAAACTTCATGCGTAGACACACCTCCTCAAAACGGAGTTGCTGAAAGAAAGAATCGACATATGTTAGAAACTGCAAGGGCTCTTCTATTCCAAATGAATGTGCCTAAACAGTTTTGGGCTGACGCTGTGTCTACTTCATGTTTTTTGATCAATCGTATGCCATCTTCTGTTTTGGATGGTAAAACTCCTTATCAATGTCTTTTTCCAAATAAAGAACTTTTTCCTATTCCACCTAAAATATTTGGTTGCACTTGTTTTGTTAGAGATGTTAACCCTCATCGGACGAAATTGGACCCCAAGTCATTGAAATGTATTTTCTTGGGTTATTCTCGAGTTCAAAAGGGGTATAGATGTTTTTGTCCAAGTACAGGTCGATATCTTATTTCTATTGATGTCTCATTTCATGCAAATACACCATTTCCATCATCCAAGACAGATATTCATGAGGACAACGATGAAATACTCATTTACACAGTTACTATACCTGAGACCACACCTTCAGTAACTATGTCGAATGTCACTGTTCCTGACCCTAGACCTCCTGTACACTTGGTTTACACCCGTCGACACAAAGCACAAGATCACTCCCCACCTGTGACACCTGTGATTACATATCCTGATACTGGTCCGACTTCGATCTCATGTCCTGAACCAGTACCTGCATCTTCAGATCTTGTCTCTACATCTGATCTTGACCTCCCGATAGCACTACGTAAAGGTACATGGTCTTGTACTCATCCTATTTCCTCATTTGTGTCATACAGTCAGTTATCTCCTGCCTCATGTTCTTTTGTTGCTTCCATTGATTCTATTTCTGTTCCCAAATCTGTTAAAGAAGCTTTGTCTCAGCCCGAATGGCGTCATGCCATGGTAGAGGAAATGAATGCTTTGGATCTTAATGGTACTTGGGATTTGGTATACTTGCCTTCAGGGAAGAAGTCTATTGGATGTAAGTGGGTCTTTGCTGTTAAGGTTAATCCAGATGGATCTGTTGCTCGATTGAAAGCTCGATTGGTTGCAAAGGGTTATGCTCAAACCTATGGTGTTGATTATTCTGACACTTTTTCTCCTGTTGCTAAATTAACATCTGTCAGGTTACTTATCTCACTCGCTGCAACTCATGATTGGCACTTACACCAGTTGGACATTAAAAATGCATTCTTACATGGTGACCTTCAGGAGGAAGTTTATATGGAGCAACCTCCGGGATTTGTTGCTCAGGGGGAGTATGGGAAAGTTTGTCGACTTCGCAAATCTCTTTATGGTCTGAAACAGAGTCCTCGTGCATGGTTTGGGAAATTCAGTCAATCCATTGAACGGTTTGGAATGATAAAAGGTCAATCAGATCACTCTGTCTTTTACAGAAAAACGAAAGCAGGTATCACATTGCTTGTGGTGTATGTCGATGATATTGTGATTACAGGAAGTGATACCGCAGGTATTTTGGCCCTTAAGAATTTTCTTCATAGCCAATTCCAAACAAAAGACCTAGGCTCATTGAAATACTTTCTGGGTATTGAGGTAACACGGAGTAAGAAAGGCATATTTCTATCTCAGCGTAAATATGTACTTGATTTACTAACTGAAACAGGGAAATTGGGAGCAAAGCCAAACACAACTCCCATGGTTCCCAATGTGCAACTCACTTCAGAAGGCATACCATTCGAAGACCCAGAAAGGTACAGAAGATTGGTTGGAAAGCTTAACTATCTCGCAGTCACTCGCCCAGACATTGCTTACTCTGTGAGCGTAGTGAGTCAATATATGTCATCTCCGACAGTTGATCATTGGAATGCAGTAGAGCATATATTATGTTACTTGAAGGGGACACCAGGACGAGGTATTGTTTACCAAAATCATGATCACATGAGAATAGAATGCTTTGCAGATGCTGATTGGGCTGGATCTAAAGATGATAGGAGATCCACATCTGGCTATTGCGTCTTTGTTGGTGGTAATCTCGTCTCTTGGAAAAGTAAGAAGCAAAATGTGGTTTCTCGTTCGAGTGCTGAATCAGAATATCGGGCTATGGCACAATCGGCATGTGAGATAATCTGGATAAACCATTTGCTGAGTGAAATCGGATTGAAGACACCAATGCCTGCTAAACTCTGGTGTGATAACCAAGCTGCTATACACATTGCCAACAACCCAGTGTTTCATGAGAGAACAAAACATATTGAGGTCGATTGTCACTTTGTTCGAGAAAAGATACAACAAGGATTGATCTCTACAGGATATGTGAAGACTGGAGAGCAACTTGGAGATTTGTTCACTAAAGCATTAAATGGAATTCGTGTTGGTTATTTATGTAACAAGTTGAGCATGATAAATATCTATGCTCCAACTTGAGGGGGAGTGTGAAAGACATTAGAATATACTTTAGAATATACTTTAGAATATTCTTCTATCCTTAGAATATACTTTAGAATATTTTAGGAATACACTCTAGGATATTATTATTGTATAGAATCTTATAAGAATATTCTATCTTTGTAATGTATATTTATAGGGACTTAACCCTCCAATGAAATACACAGAAAATCCTTTCCTCTCCAATATTATTTCTTAGTTAATATGCTCTATTTCAACATGTTCTTTGAGAGAGTTATGCACATTACTAATTATAACACCATGGGGTTTAACAAAAAAATTAACTTGGGTAAAGCGCAAAATTTATATATCTAGAGGAAGTTTGGTATATTAAACTTTTTAGCAATAAGATATTGTTTTATTGCAACATCATCAAATCTAACCACCCTAATTCATTTTCATGTGTCACATTAAGGACATGTTACTTCACAAGTTATTAAACGGTGTTTATTAAAATTTTGCGTTAATAAGCAGTGCATAAAATAAGCAGTGATATAAATTCATGTTTACTTCACAATGTTTAAAACACCGTTTAACATTAAATTGTCCAAAATAATTTTTGCATATATAGACACACAAAGATTCATGTACACAAATTTGAAGTATATATATAATATGTGGGGGTCTACCCCTTACCCCTAACTCCCTACCACCCCCGTATGATTCCCACACCCCTGTCCCTAACCCTCCCACCAAAAACCATGTGTCTCGGTTCTGCGATGCCAAAAGGAGGGCATTTCTCGGTGACAGCGGAAACAAGATCAATAAACGGTGAGATCTATGCCCCGCCCTTACCCCTACTATAACCCCTACCCACGATTCCAGTCCTACACCCTACTTCTACCCACCCCTAACCCCCTAACCCTACCTTAACGGGGGTAAGGCTACGGGGCCACGAGTAGGGGTCAGGGTGGGAAATAGGGCTAGGGGTAGGACCGTAGGAGCGGCAGGGGTAGGGTAAGGGGGTGGGAATAGGAGTAACAGTGGAGGGCAAGGGCAAGAGGTAAGGATAAGAGTAATTTCAGAAACTGGAAAAAAGCTTAAAGTGTCACTTAATTAATATATGGGGTGATATGCTTAAGGCAGCTTAAGCATCACTTTAAACACCTGTTTCAATTAGTAAACAGTTTTTTTTAGCAGTCTGTGTGTTTACTTTACCTGTCTTACTAACCTAAAATTTAGTAAAAACATCCCAAGACCAATGTTAGTCAAAGCCACATGATCAAACTACATCACGCTACAGCAAAAATGCAGTCTAATTAACATTCACAATTGGAGCATATACTAGTGGTTTGCTAATATATACCCCCCCCCCCCCCCCCCTGATAAAATAAGAAAGAATGCACAGAAAACCAGGGGTGTATACTAAACAGGCCACAGTTTGTTATATTCCCTTGAACTCGAAGTTGATTAAATAATAACCCAGAAGAAAATTACAAGGTAAAAAAAGTGATTCAACTTACAATGAATATGAATAACCACACACAAAAAAACTAAACAATGAGTAGATATGAATAAGACACAAAAGAATATACTAAAAAGGGGAAGAACTATATACAGTTGGCTGGGAAGTGATGGAAATCAAGAGAATATAGGTGAAATCCTCCCTCCCAAACATTCTTTTCTACAGTTCAGTTTTGTTGGACCACTGGAATTCTATCTCCAAGTTCCTTGAAGGCCCACTTTTGCTTTCGGGCAACAAGGTGTACTCCCCTGAAACTGCACCCAGCATCACTACTCGGTCGATCTGGATCGTTACCTTTCCAAATGAGCTCTGTGAATTTTATTGCATTTAAGAATCAAGTTGGGTGTTAGGAAGACTAGAATCTGAATTAAGGAGAGAAGAATAAGGGCATCATGACTCCATTTTACCTTTCCCATTTTGCTCTTGTTCTTGCATGAGATGTGAAGCTTTTGGCCTTTTGGAGGACTTTCAAAGGACCAGGCAAAGCTTTCATCCCATTCGGGGTTAGGCCCAGTTGATGTAACCTGACACAAGGGAAAAGACCATGCATGTCATACACATCATTACTACCACCATAACCCCAGCTGTATTGGGCTTTCCGAGGGTAAACTGGCAAATTATTGATTTATTCATACCTTGGTTTGCACAGGTGGAGTATTTCCGAGGGTAAGCTTGCAATAAACACTAGGATTTCCAACGGACTGTCTCATGTTGTTACCTCGCTTGATAATGACCACCAATGTCCCCGGCAAGCACTGCAAAAGGAATTCTGCCTTCTCTTGAAACCGGGGCGGCCCTGACTGTATCAAATACTGCAACAAAGGAATAGCATCAGCAGCAGCAATTGATTGGGCTCGAGACACTTCAGCTGGGCAAGCAGACCAAGCATGCCTCAGAAAGTAAAGTGCATCCAGGGCTGCTTCTTGAGTTGCCTCTGAACCAGTCTTGAGGGCAGTGACCAGATGTGGTATACTCAGTGTGGCAGGTTCTGTTGCTCTCAAACGTGGGAAATTTCCAAAAAGTGAATTCAAAGCCTTCAAATACTCTTCATTAACTGTTCCTGTTGCCCACAAATCTTTTTCGAGCGCAGCTGATAAAGAAGAACAGATAATATATTAACTGATTCGAGTTTTCTTTAATTTAAATTGCAGTAACAAAAATAATCATGCATCAACAGGGAATGTAATTAATGCAATTTTGTGGCATACTTCGATTCCATTTTCATGAAAAATGTTATATATTCACACCTTACAAAAACATCACAATTTACTCCAGTTAATAAATAACAATAATAGTTAAGTAATGAACCAAATCAACATCCCTGCTGAAAAAACTTACCAGTTATGGCCCTGACAGTCTCGCCCGAAGCATATTCTTGAATAGTGTTGTTTGAGAAGAGAAGCTTAATAAACATCGCTGCCTGTACTGATGTATCTGGATCACTTGAGCCAATAATATCAAGCACAACCTGAACACCTCCAGCTTCCGCAACGGCTCTTTTATTTGATCGGCTGTACATAACAAGGTTCTGTAGAGCACATATTGACACGACTTTCATTTCTTCAGTAGGCTGATCCTCTAGCAGATTAACCAATGCCCGACAAGCAGAAACAGCATCTGATGTCCTAGCAAGCGACTCGTTCTGGAATAGATCGCCAAGGGCAAGTGTCGCCAATAACCTCGCTTGCTGACCTTGGGTTTGTGGGTCCAAGAGGTATTGTGACAGTGGTAGAATAGCTGCCTTCGTAGCCTTTGTGTCTCTGATCTTCACATTGTTAAGCAACACCTCAAGAAGCCTAGCAGCGGTTTCCTCGCATATATGGCATCGGAGAAGTTCCAAAAGAGCTTCGATTGCCCCACTTTCAGCCATTGCTTCAGCACTGGTGGAGTCATCGCTTTCCAACACGAGCAGGGCATTCAAGGCACCAAGTATGGTGCTTTCTAAGCCTGAACGAAGTAATCTCACCAAAACTGCTACAGGGACTTCCAAGAAAAACTCAGAGCTAAACTGCAAGATGCAGGCTAGGACAGAAGCAGCTGATTCCCATAAAGCATTGGGAAGCAAAGGATCAGCATTCAACAGCACTTTTGAAAGCTCACTTACACCGCCTTCTTTGGCAATCTCATTGGGCCATGTTACCGAAACACAAACAAGAGCCTTCACAGCTCTCTGCTGCAGAATGGGTATATCAGAACCGAGCACTCTAACTAAAGGCCCAATGACTTGTTGTGTGACGGGATCTTTTTGAAGATGCTCCTCCACAAGAAGAAGAGACAGGAGCTCAGCTGCCAACTGTTGAACGGCAGAAGCAGGAGAATCAAGTAAAGGTATCAGAGGTTCAATGGCTTGATGGGATGACAATGCATGATCAGCACGGCATTGTGGATGTTCTAAGATGTTCACAAGAACCTGAAGAGCACTGTGTTGTCCGTCGTGTCCAAACTCCGGTACAGTCAGCAACAAGAAAAGAGGCACAACCACTTTTGCTGCAGATGGTCCCTTGGCAATCGCTGCATTGTTAGTCAGTATTCTTAGCAATTCAGCAAACGCAGCACATAGGAAATTTGGTGCTTCATGGAGAATATCAAGTACACTCTCGATTACCCCTGATTTTACCATTTCTAGCTTACATGAAGGCCTGTCTTTCCCCAACTTCACGAGAGTCCTAGAAATAGCCTCGTGAAGCATAAAATTCTGACCATAGAGAAGACCTACGAGGGGTATAACAGCTCCATGTGCGGCAACTAGTTCTGCTAGCTGTTCATCATCCACCAGTTTGTCTAAAGCGTGAACAACCGAATGATGAGCCGGACTGAATTCAGTGACCAGAAGAGAAACCAAGGGCTCCACACAGCGAGCTGCGGCAATTGTAGATCTTATTCTTGTACTAGTGAAAAGAACAGAGCATAACTCCGCTGCATCCCCCTTCAGCTCCATAGAGCAATTTGATGAGAGAATCCTGCATAAAACATCTACAGCATTCAT